ATAAAATATATAGATCATCAAAACAAGACTATTGTTTACCCATGTCAATAGTAGTTATTGTTGTTGTTGTTATCGATGATGATATATGTTGTGATATCGTAGGCTCATCTAATAAAAACAAAATATATAGATTATCAAAACAAGATTATTGTTTACTCATGTCAATAGTTGTTGTTGTCGTTGTTGTTGTTGTCGATGATGATGATATATGTTGTGATGTCGAATGTTCAGCTAATAGAATCAAAATATATAGATAATCGAAATAAGACTATTGTTTACCCATCCCAATAGTTGTTGTTGTTGTTGCTGCTGATGACGTATGTTGTGATGTCGTAGTTTCTTCTAATAAAATCAAATGGTATTTATCTACTTGAATTCGCTACTTACACTGTTTTTTTATAATTCTTATCAAAATATAACTATATATAAAGCTAGGACTCTGCGTAATGTGTATGATTAGTAAAAGTGTAGGATATGAGACTAAAGAAAAATATTTAATTGATAACTTATACTACACACAAGGAAGGGTGTAAAGAGATATGGCTATTATATTATTTCTACACCTTTGATGCAGTCTCCCACAAATACAGATGAAAGTGGATTTTGACAAAAAAATATAATGCCGATGCAACAGCACATTATAAGATTCGGATCCGTTAGAATCATTGCTAGCCATAGTTTCTATCTTTATGGTATGTGCCGATGAGTGTATGAGAGTGTTCATCTCAGATAAAAACAATAGACTAATATCAATACTTTCACATGCTCGCATTAATTATTGCATAATGCACTCAGTTAGTCACTTTGAGGAAAGAATAAATATGCATGAAACTGATGATGTGAAAATATCAAACAAATCTGTCGTCTTATGTTTAAAGAAAGTAGTAGGCATACTAACCTGATGGACACAATCTAGAATAATTATTTGAACAACCACGTAATTCAATATTATCAATGGCTAAATCATTTCCGCCCGCGCTACTGCTTGCAACATTTGAGATAATAAGTAGAACGACTGAATTATTTGATGCTATAAATGTAACGCCATACTTTCTCCAAGGCATATAGTCTTCTGCAGGTATATTACCCGTTGATGAGTTCTTTAGTATACCAACTTGAAATGTTGCAGCTCGAACTTCAAAGCGGACATTTGGCTTCTGTCGAGAGCCAGTCGGTGGTATATCCACATTTGCTAAGTACGCAGAAAATTCATAACGTAATCCAATACAAAGATCATTTATAGTAGAATTGAAAATTACAGTATTCTTTTCCTTCGCTACATTAACTAAAAACATGTATCCATTTTTTTCGTTCGTTGCATAATCTAATTTGCCAATCTGCCATACTTTATGGTGATTAGGAACCGCATTCACGAAACCAAAATATCCGTCTTGTATTGCAGTATTAATTACTTGTATATGGCTTGTAGTAAAATTAAAACTAGAAGGTGTGCTATTAGAATAATTATTTGTACTGGAGCCAAATGTAATCAAAAAAACTGATGTACTGTTATTTGTGCTGTTGTCAGAACATAAACCAGCAGATCCTGTACAAAGAAATGAATACAGATGATTGCGACTTTATTCAAACTTCACGTTTAGAAAAAGTTGTGACATACTATTTCCAAAGAACATATTACTAAAATCAGTCAAATAGGAGCATGCATTTTGATCTATGCATGCTTTATGATTGTTGCAATCAGTTTCTATACTTCAGGACTCGATTCGATGACAGATTATTCGGACTATAGGTACTCCACAAACACTTCCGCTGGAGATAAAAAATATCCAGCTTTCAATTCATGAGATCAATCGCTTTTTTTGAAACTAAATGTACGAAACAAGTAGAAAAGATTGAGACGTATCATGATTCATAGATTTTTTGTTGGGAACGAAAGTTTTACAGAAGTCGATAGATTAACGAACTTTCCAAGTGCTTATATTATATTATAATGAATGTTTGATATATATTCATGTATATGATTATCACCACAGTACATGTTTTTAAAGTGGTATGTATTGCTCTGAAATAAAACGTATTAAGCACTAGCAGTACTAACTGGATTTATAATAAATAATCTTTCTTCTGATGTGATTCAATTTTATGATAGACAATAAATCTTTTTATATATTTACCAAATGGTTCTTCAACAGTGAATATAATAATCAATTGTATTAGAAGAATTTTAATTGCCAGCATCTCTTGTTGTTATCTACTGTTTATGATTGTAAAAGTAAGAAACAAAATGATTTCTAGATTCTATCATCAGTTAGTATAATTTCTTTTTTTTTATGTAAATTGATTTTGTGTTCCTTTCAGTGTATTACTTTCAACCCAAATCATACATTCTACAGATCGGCAAGTGGTTAAAATAATTTATTTTGAAAGCTGAAACTGTTTTATTCGGGAAATAAACAACAATTTTTTTAAAAGTAATTATTAGTCAATTTAAAAACATCTTAGTCATCCTTTTTCTTATTCTTTACCAAAATATTAACACACTTATCGGTCAGAATGTAAATAAAAATAAAAATTTAATCATCTAACATGATCTTTTAGTATATCATTATATTTCGAGTATAAACCTTCTGATTAGGACTAAAAATAAAGTCATAAACTAGACGATAGATGAAAGCGAGAAAAATAATTAGATATATTTTCTATAAAAGTATCAGTTACGCGTGTCAATATATCGTTGATGTCAATAGTAATTGTACATTAGACTTTTGTTTTAACTTCAATTATAACATATTGATTCCTATTTCCGTTATTGACTTGTTACACTTCCTTCTCTTTGCTAAACAAGATAGATTTTTGACGTATAGAATATATCCAATCATCTTGAGGATATGTGTATGAGTTGATTCTGTACTCACATTCATAAGTAGATTAGTTCATAGAGCAAAACATAGTCGATGTGATTAATTAGAGCTTGCGGCGAATCACAAACCATAGTATGAGAGTATTCAGAAGATCATTCTTTTCTATTCTCTGACGTATCATTTAACATTTCACATTATTCTTTTAATTGTATTGAGAACGTGTTTCTATTATGAAAACTCGTTTGAATTTAAAAATATTGACAACATTAAGATAGAATAACAAAAAAAGAAGTTTATACATCATTATTTCATCGTCGTTTGATTTCTTGATTTCATTTGATGATTTTCGATTGTTATTGTTTGATCAAATGTTCTGTCTATTATTTGAGAAGGAGCAATTTTACTCATTTTGATTATTTTACAAAATATTAATTCAACAGCCATTCGTCGAATTTCATTCGATAAACAAACATAAACATAAAATGGAGCAGCACTACTAGCATATAAATTGAGTCGAACAACATGCTGAATAAATGTTTCCAAAGCTAGACGATAAGGATCTTTCACTTGAGTAAGTGTAATTCCTGTATACAGATATTGTACACCATATGGTAATGAAGTAACCATACAGACTAATGTTTGAGCGATGATCAATGAAGTTAATTGCCGTTCTATACGTTGAAAACGACCTTGATTCGAAGAATTTTGACCTAATTTTTTAACATGACTGTAAGTTAAATAGCCAAAGATGGTTAATATAATAAATGGTATAAAGAAATAGAGAACTGGGAGAAGAAAATAAGCAAATGCATATGTGAGACCTTTTGATGTACTAACACAAGACATAACACCAGATGAATTCTAAAAGAATAAAAACACAACCATGTATTTCAAATTGTTTACTAGAAAATATGTATCGTTTTACCGTGCTGATATCATTGTAAAGTAATTGAGGTACTTGCATAAGTGCCCATATAAATGTATTTATGATAAGAAATAATTGTGCCCATTTGATAGAACTAAATCGACGAATTTTATTCGATCGAGAAGTTGATGCCCATTGATCAATAGTACAAAGACATTTTGTATATAAAGTAGCGAAATTAGTTACACCAGTAATATAACTTCGAATTCTACAAACAGCTGGATTAAAGAAAAATAAAGCAATATTTCCTTGAACTTGAAAACCATCAGTCATAATACGATAACCAAGTGCAATAGCCAAAAAGATGAAATCACAAATGGCTGCAACAAGAATATATTGACTAGAAGAAGTACGACGAAGTTCTTTTTTTGATGAGAAAATAATTATAATTGCCAAAGATCCAAATACACCAAAAAACCATAAAAAAATACCTCCTATCTTATTGACATATTGACCATATAGAACAAGATCATTGATTGATGGTGCCATCTTATATTTCGTTTATTATATTATAAATAATCTAAAACTACAGAAAAATTATTTTTTTACAGAATAAAAATATGAACGCGTAAATCATCATTTTTTTCCACATCTACTGTATTATATATTATCAACAAATTATCCAAAAGGTATGTAGTCATCTCATAAGAAGAATAGTTGTCGCCTCTTCGAATGGATTTTAATGATGATGTCAGAGACTAATCTATTAGTATTATGTTATACTGATGCTTATATGAACATTAGTTTCTACTCGACAAGTGCACAATGATTTTCACAAACTGTTAATGTTTGAAGACTAATCTGCCTTACTAATCAATATAGATCACATATTAGATTGAACAATATGCAGATACTTACGATTAAATAAATGAAAATATAAAAAAATGAAATAGATCATATTTTCGCCATTGATTTATTCTCTTCTTTTGCCATATTACACGAACAAGTCAAAAACTACTAAAGATAGTTTGCACAAAAAAAGCTTGTCCTCATAGTTTTTTTTATTTTTCTTCTCAGAAGATCTATTCATTTCCAATGGTTATAGTAAGTCCATAGAAAACACTACAGCAGGAAAACGATGAATATAAGTGCTACAGTGGGAAACTCTAAAAACAATTATACGATCATGTTAACGCTGTGCAATGAACTCGCACTTTTGATTTTAATAACTAAAAGCTTGCATCAACTTTCCTAAGTAGTATTGAGAATGCGACATTAATCAGACTTCTAGAATAGAGGCGACAATGAATAGAAACTGTCAGAGAAATACATGGCCCGGTAAGAAACTAACTACTCGTCAATTTCATTAAAAAGCTATAAGATTGATTTTTCAATAGACTATTTCCATCAAAAAAAGACATTGAGCTGTTTCTGAAGGGTTCTAGTTTATGAGGAAAAAACAGATCATCAAACCCTAGAAAAGGTATAATTATTTTTTGAAGCTTCTGACTGCAGAAATGAATGAATTCTCTGAGAGTAAATATGAAACTTTATGAGACCAAGTTGTTTTTTTCCAGTGATTAAATAATATATAATTCGCAAACAAGTGAATTTTAATTAATTTAAATATCATCGTAATTGACAATCGAGTAATTTGAAAAGATTGTAAGATGAATATGAAAAATTTAGATATTATTATTTTATATATCATGCTGTGATTGTATCTTTTGTATGATAAATAGAAGTTGATGAAGGTTAATATTTCATTGAAAAAGAAATTTCATCTTTAATTAGTCTATTGATAGATCAATTACAAACATTTTGTGAGGAATCTCGAAGTTAAAGAATATTTTAAACATACTACGAAATTCTATAAGTTAATTTAGGTGATATTTATTTATTAATTGAAGATTATGAAAAAGCTCTTAAAATATAAGAATTATTATTACCTGGTAATCATTCGAATGTTTTTGAAACATTGTGTATTTAACACCAGCCGAAGTAATAACTCATAATGTATTATTACTTAAACATACATTTGTGACATTATTTGATAAAATAAAAAATCTTTTGATTGAAGAATTTTAAGATTATATGTGTAATGAATATGAAGAAAAAAAATATAATTTTTTTTCATACATAATACTATTTACGCTTTTTTAGTAAACATATTATAGAAAAAAAACTTTAAAATCAACACAATTATATATGATAATTTAGGGATGCGGGCGTAATGTCGACGATGGATATTATTATCAACATTATATCCTATTCATACTCACAACATCTAAAATATAATTCTAGTTAACTATGTCAATCTAAATAATGCTCATTTATAATTAACTCTTTAAGACGAGCGACGCCTATATGCGTCGTTGATCCTAAATTTGTTGAAGATCTCTAGTTATCAGCTATCTATTTATTATTTTGTTTCATATTACTATAAACTTACAGAATATATTATCTATATACTTGTAATACATCTCAAAACAGGAAATGAAGTTAATTAAAAATTAATAGTCAATTATTTCAAAAAATTTCTTTTTGCTCTAATTATTTTCCAAACAAAGAAGTCTAACATCAAAGAGAAAGTTATTTTTACATCCATATTTACATACAACTGACAAAGCACGGATTTCTATAACCAACAAAAAAGGATATTTTCATGATTTTTGACTTCAGTGATGAATAAGTTAGTATAATACATTCTTTTTTAATGAATCAATGATGAGATTATCTATATCAACAGTTACTTCTTCACTACAATTAAAAATTATTGTATTGAAAATACTTCAACATTGTCAAGTATAGATTCTTATACATTTATTTAATAAGACAATTTTGAGAAAAATATTTTAATTGATCAAACATCAATATTCTTCTAAATATATCAAATGAAAGTTCATTGAAAGTAATGTTTATTGACAGTAAATAATAGAAATTATGAAAACTTGTGTATTTAAAACTGTCTAAAAACTCAATTATTATTATGAAAAAAAGTTTGTTTTTGTTAAAATAAGTTTATTTTTATGTCCTAAATTTGAGAAAAAATAAGCATATAAATGCCGATACTTTTTTTCATTTTTTACCAACGATTGATAATAAAAAGGACAGTCAAATATTTGCATTTTGAAATATTTTTTTCGGAAACCTTGAAGACAAATAATAAAATATTAATTCTTTTTAACTTCTATTATTGGACATATTAGATCAGTATATATTCGAAGTCGATAAAATAATTTCTTTCACAAATTCTCCCTTAACAATGAACATCAACACACTTTTATTTCTTTTCTCATTCATAATCTTAACTAACTCGAATAGTAGTTTCTATTCAATAAATGTTAAAATTATAAAAGGATCATACTTTCAACCACCTGTCGTTACACATCTTATTGATACATTAATCGATATTCCATCGATAAAAAAATGTGCTCTTAT